TGTTTGGATTCTGTCTGGTTTGGGCCCCGTGTGATAAGGTCCATAGAGATGTCAATTTGTGCTTTCCTAGTCATGCTCCAAATGGAGGGCATTATGGAATTCCTTCTGTACAGAAGGTTAGAAATTGTGGAGGACATGTCCTGGAAAAGAAAAATGGAGGACACTCCAAAACAAAAGCTAAAAACAATTAATATAACTAATAACAATTAATATAACATGCTTGGTCATGCTCAAAATGGAGGAACTCCAAGAAAAAAAATGGAGGACATGATGAAATAAAAAGTTAAAAACACTCATAGCAATGTAAATCCATGCTTCCTAGTCAGGCTGGAGGACATTCAAGGAAAATGGGGGAGGGGGGGAGGGATTACCAAAGAAAAGCTCCAAACACCTAATATAAATACATTCAAAATATATATTTTATATACACACGCACACATTCATGCTTCTTAGTCATGTTCAAAATGGAGGGCATTTTGGAATTCCTCCTAGACAGAAGGTGGAAATGTGGGACATGTCCTGGAAAAGGAGGACCTCTGGTCACCCTGTGTACAGCATGTGCTGAGGGGCAGCCACATTGACCAATCCTAGTTCTCAGCTTGTTTTCCTCTTGAACCTGCCTGCCAGCAACTTTCCTAGATTATACCCCGCTCCCAGTTTGTTCATGCCACCATCATGCACATGCATGCTCTCTTCTTGCTCCTGCCAGTGTCCAGGTGGATGCTTCAGTCTGATAATAATACTCTGCCCTAAATGGTCACTGGGGTGGTTTTACCCCTTTCCTGAAGCACCTTGCCTGCAACCCAGCAGGAATGCATCCACCCAACCTTCTGTTTTTTTGGGCCCATCGGAAGTAGCACCTGCAGACCAAATTGATGCTTCAGCTGCAAGCTCCTCCAGGCTACTATTATAAGAAACGAAGGCCAGGAGCAGAGTGGGGAGCTCTGTATAGCATTTCAGAGAGAGAGAGAGAAAAAAAAAAAAGATCAATGGGAATGTATACCTAGGCAGCCCCTTTGAGTCCTCTCATTTTAGGAGCTCTTTCCAGTGTACTGTAATTAAATTGAGGTTTTAAAAGCTGTTGCCAAATTGAGAACTCCAAGAGACTGTGTAGGAGGTGGATTCATGAAGCCTAGGGGTTGGTGGAGGGCCTAAATAGCCTAAAGGCACCAAATCTCTTCTGATATTGGAAGCCAAGCAAGGTCAGCCCTGGTTAGTACTTGGATGAGAAACCAGATCCCAGGTGCTGCAGGGTATATTTCAGAGGAAGGAACTGGAAAAACCATCTCTGAGGATTCCTTGCCTAAGAAAACCCTATGAAATGAAGGGTCACCATAAGTTGATAGGTAACTACTTATTCACATGGAGATTCACAGACTGTCTGATTTTAAAATTTCAGACTGGTTTGACATTGCATTTTAACCAAACATATTATAATTCCTTCTTTAGTACACAAATTGTGTCCCCCTCCAGTTGCTGAACTGCATCTTCTATTATCTTTAGCCAGCATAGTGATGATAAATATTGGGAGTTGCAGTTCAACAAAATCAGGCACATAATTCTTACCCCAACCTTAGAACATCCTATAAAGTTAGAACGGATCTAACTTGTTACTAATCCCACGATATTCCTGTTTGGATATGGGTCTGTGACAGTTTATAGTGCAATAGTGGTACCAGGACCAATGACAACTTCAGTTGCTGCACTTGGACAGAAAATCATGTTTGATTTGGCAGGAACAGAGAAATAGACATACTGTCTGGTTGAACTTGACAAGAACATTCCACTGTTCCCAACCTATCTTTAAATCCCAGCATTATCATAAAATAAGTGGATAAAGGAGGTGTTACAGTTAGACAAGACTAAGGCAGAGCCAGACATTATTAGACAATTATCTGACACCTCCTGTTACATTTTTTGTGATGTAGGGCCCAATAAGGAAATAATAGTCACCATTCATGAACATTTCAGAGGTGGACTGTCTATGGCAGGGGTAGGCAACCTTTTTAAGCCGAGGGCCGGGTTGCTGTCCCCCAGACAATTGGGGGCCCGAAGCAAATAATAATAATAATAATAATA